ACCCCACTAATAATAAATAAATAATAAAAAACTAAAAAAAAAAAAAGTCAAAGCTAAGGTTTCTTAAATAAGAACATTTTGACTTCTCAATACTTGCCACATTGATGGACAAACAATTATGTTTGTACCTCTTATATAGAAACTCTTTTCAAACATTTTCAATGTGGGATCAAAATGATCCCACATCATTTACAAAGGGAGCCCGTGGCTCCTCTTTGTCATTTTTTTTTTGTTAATTTTAATTTTATTTTGTATATAATTTTGTTTGGATTATTATTATTATTAGTATTTAATTTTCACCCGTGCGATGCACGAAATAAATTTGTTGTAATATATTAAGAATATTTGGATCGATATATAATTATTTAAATTAGAACATCAAATATTATATATTGCAATTGAATGTATGGCTTGGATCCTTTGTGTTTTTATGTTATCATGGCTTGAATTTGAGCAAATAATTGCTCAAATTAATAGCTAATGTGTAGATGTACGGATGCGGTGTTGTAGCTTTGGAGATTTTATTTATCATTGTCTAATATTTTTATAAATTATGCAAATGTGCTTATTTTTTAGCAACTCAGTTATAAGAATGAATTGATACCCTAATTCATTTGTATGAAAAATATATTTTTTGTTTAGATATATAGCAATTTTGCCATTAAAAAAAACATAATATCACCGATTGTATTTACACTATTGAAACATCTTTGTAGATAACAGTGATAATAGCAACACAATCTTGTCCATCTTCGTCTAGAGCTAACACCTTCAGTCCATCAGGATGGTGACTCGGGTGAAAATATATAATGGTAGAATATCAGTCAATTAGTGATCCTTTTATATTTTCAGTCAATTAGTAATATCCGATTCATTTTCATCCAATTATTCTTTTTTATTTTCAGTCAATTAGTCAATTAGACTATTAGACTATTAGATGCAGTGATATTTTTTACCTAATTTCCGTTCCATTTTTAATGGATGATGTATAATTTATTGCAATACCCGTTATATTTTTAATTTACCTTTATATTGTTTAAACTTTAAAATATGCATTTCCTATTGATGATGTAGAATATTATTGAAATATTTTTGTCTAATTTTTTGTTTTTGATCCTTTTTTATTGTAGTCAATTACTCAATTAGAAATATTATTGTTACCAATTAAGCTTTATTAATTTTTTACTATTTAATTAATATTCATATTAATTTGGGCGGGAATGTTGAAAAGGAGGATTTTACTTTTATTAATAGTATAGATAAATTAATTTCATTTTGAAATTATTGATTCACATATTTGAATTATTTAATTTTTTATTAATTATTCGCATGGTAAACATAAATGATATTGCAATAATTAATTTATGATATTTATCAAATTGTATCTTTTTTAAAATATAAAATTTTCACATGTTTATGGGTTGAAAAAATTTTAAATTATTTTTATTTTAAAAATATTTTTCAGCAACCCGAACACTCCATTAATCTCCCATAAAGAAAAATCATTTTATTTAGGAAATTAAAACTAATTAAATTAAATCTAATCGTGCTATATTTATTTGTAACTGTATATTAATTTCATTTTGAAATCGTTGGTTCACATATTTAAATTATTTATTTATTTCTCTTTAATTATTCTCATTGTAAACATAAATGATATTGCAATTATTAATTTATGATATTTATTAAATTATATCTTTTTTTAAATATAAATTTTTTTCATGTTTAGAGGTTGAATAATATTTTAAAATTATTTTGAATACATATTATACATTATGTGTGTGTGTGTGTGTGTGTATATATATATATATATATATATATATATATATATATATATATATATATATATATACACACACACACACACACACACACACACACACACACATACACACACACACACACAAACACACACACATTTAATTCTATATTAATAAGCATAATCTCTGTATATACTTTAAGAAAATATTCATTATTGAAAATGAGATATAATTTAAAAAGTATATTATTAATTAGATTACCTAATATAATTATCCTACTAATTGATTCAATGCTACTATGTATAATTCATATATTTGAAGACTTGTTAAAGCTAAATACCTATTAATTGTCTTAATAATAATAAAGATAATTTTTAGTCAATTAATATTCAATAGTACTAAAAGTATTGTTGGTGATAATGAACCACAATCGATTTAATATCCGTAAAATAATATTTATATATATATACACACGAAATATATATAAAATATTATTGGATATATATATCCGAAATATATATATACACACAAATATATATAAAACGGACCCAACGGTTATATATACATGTATATCTACGAAAAAGATATACCAATATATATCAACCAAAAAGAAAATATAATCCTTAGATTATAATTCCAAAACAACAAGAAAGAACGGATTTTTGCTTAGAGCATAATCCAAAACAAGAAAGAAGAAGAAAGAAAGAAATGTACGAGTTAGGCAAAGTGCCTGTCTTTCCTCAAAACCTTATTTGCCACCTCCCAAAAGTGCTAGGAGCGTTGTGGCCTAGGTTTCCCAGGATAAAACGTACAACGGTTCGACGTTTGAGCACCCAAACGAACGAACCCGGCGAACAAGAGCACGGGCAAAACACAGCTTCAAGAATGGAGTAGGAGCAGAATTTTTGAGAAGAAAAAGTGCTTATCTTTGTGTGTTGTGTACTCTCGTGTTCTTCCCTCACTAGTTGTCTCTCACTATGCATGTGAAAAGCCTCTACTCCCACTACACTCTTATATAGGAGGTTGGTACTAAATAGCATCATCATGACACATTAACCAACATAAATTCAATTTAAAAATTGAATTATAACGTTTGAAACGGTCGTACTTATTATCGAAATAATATCAACGGTCACGAACTTAATATCCGATTAATTCGTACCGACCATAACGACCCATTTCAAATATCTGAGTGACCGAGAAGTCCGTACAAACCCGAAAGGTTAACGAATTGGGACCGGAAACCACACCCGAGCGATCCGCGAGCACCAAAAGGTGCAGCACGAAATGAGCTCACGAAAGGAGCTCATTTCTCCCAAGCACGAAACTGTGATCAAAAGCACGAAATTTGTGCTTTAAAACCCAAATTCCACTTTAAGCTTTTCCCAAAGCTTAATCTCTCGTGCTTAGTTGATTAAGCATTTCAAAGCTTAATTAATCCATTTAATCTTACATAACTAAATGAACTTTCGTGCTACACCTTTCGTCCATGCATCATTAAGCCACGAAAGGTGCATCCCAAATCCAAAACTTTATATTTAAGCTTTCAAAGCTTAATCCCCTTAAGCTTACAACACCAACTTTCGTGCAGTGCAACGAAAGTTATTAGAATGCTAATTTTAATTAGCATCTAAACTTAAGTTTTTGACTTCTCTCAAATAGGTTCACTTTGAGAATCAATTTCTCATTCACCTATTACTCATTTTGAGCGTACATTATATCAAATTCTTCGTCTCACTACGAAGAACCCGAATCCACCTTGACCCGACCCAAATCGGAAGTGGATCCCACATATATTTGTACCACAAAATAATCACTCAAAATATCATTTTAATGCTATTTTTCCAACAAGTATTACTTTGAATTTTTATAAATAAGATATAATATTATTAAACCGAAATAATTAAAAATATGTGTCCATAGTACAAAAGATTTTATAATAGTAATTTTTATTGCGTAATAGAATTTGTCAATTATTAAACATTATTTATGGAAGATTTTACTTTTATTAATAGTATAGATATAGAGTGGTGTAAATAATAATTAATAAATTATTATTTCCTTATAAAATTACACCGAAATTATAGTATAGATATAGATTGATGTAAATTATTATTTCCTTATAATATCACTGGCTTGAATTACACATTATTGAAAATCTCTTTGTAGATGGCATTGGTAGTAGTAACACAATTTTGTTCAGCCTCGTGTAGAGTTAAAACCTTCAGGCCATCAGGATGGGTGACTCGAGAAAAAGTCACGTACAATTGATCGTGATTAAAGACTGGTTTTTGGAGTAATAACCCAACATGAGTTAGTGTTTGGCCCTGACTTTTGTTGACAATCATGGTATATGCAAGCATCAACGGGAATTGTTTATGCTAGAACTTGAAGGGCAATCTCGTATCAAAAAGGGTGAGACATTTTAATGGAAGATTTTACTTTTATTAATAGTATAGATATAGCTTGATGTAAATTATTATTTACTTTTATTAAATTAATAGTATAGATAGATTAATTTCATTTTGAGATCATTGCTTCACATATTTAAATTATTTATTTTTTCTTTAATTATTATAAACAGAAACGATATTGTACTAATTAATTTATGATATTTATCAATTTGTATTTTTTTAAAAAATATAAGATTTACACATGTTATTAGGGGTTAAAAAAATATTTTAAAATTATTTATTATTAGTAAGTATTTTTATTTTTAAAATATTTTCCGGCAATACAAACACTCCATTCGTCTCCCATAAAAAACTAATAAAGAAAAGTCATTTCATTAAAAAAATTAAAACTAATTAAAGTAAATCTAATTATGCTATATTTATTTGTAACTGTATATTAATTTCATTTTGAAATCATTGGTTCACATATTTGAATTATTTATTTTTTTCTTTAATTATTATAAACAGAAATGATTTTGTACTAATTTATGACATTTATCCAATTGTATTTTTTAAAATATAGTGTTTTACTCGTTAGTTATTAAGAATTTAAAATTGAAAATAGACAAAAATGAAAAGATGTTAAACTGTACAATATAATAATATAGTTGGACTTTTATATATTTGGTCAAGTATCTATTTTTATAACATACAAAATTTAAATTTTGTATGGTTAATATAATCTCTAATCATTACATATGTAGATAAATTTATAGAAAAAATTCACATAATTAAGTTGATTTATTCCAAAGCGAATGGTGGTATGGGCTTTCGGTGCATGCATGAGATGAACTTGGCCTTGCTTGGCAAGCAAGCTTGGAGGTTGCTTACAAAACCCACAAGTCTGTTGGCTCGCGTGTTTAAGGCACGTTACTATCCTAGCTGTGATTTCTTTGATGCTGGGGAGGGAAGTAATCCTTCTTTTGTATGGAAAGGCATGCTGGAGGTCAAGAGTTGTTTGAGGGAGGGGTGTAGGAGGGCAGTTGGTGATGGGTGTGACACTACTATAGGCTTGGATCCGTGGCTCCCGGTTGATGATAATCCGTATGTGGAGACAGACTTGCATCCCTCGGTCCGTTCGGCACCGGTGTCCTCTCTTATGAATATGCATGGTACTGGGTGGGATATTGAGTGTGTTTATGATGTTTTTAATGTTCGCGATGCTAATTTGATTTTAAACATACCTGTTAGTGTTCGAAGGCCACGAGATGAGTGGATGTGGCGATGGGATCAAAAGGGCGCTTATTCGGTTAAATCTTGTTACAAGCAACTCACATTGGTGGATGCGGATGATCGCCCATGGACTAAAATTTGGAACTTGCATATTCCCCCGAAGGTGAAGAATTTTTGTTGGCAGTTGGCTTCTGCTTATCTCCCTACGCGTAATATCCTGCAATTAAGAAATGTTGAATGCTCTTTGATTTGTCATATGTGCAGTTGTGTGCAGGAATCAGCCCTTCATCTGTTTGTTTACTGTGCTGAAGTGACCCACCCGGCTTTGGGTTAAGCTGGGATGGCCACAAATCAATGGTTTTGCTGGTAATAGTATAACTGATTGGTTTTTTTGGGCTATTAACCTGTTAGATGTTGATTCTCTGCCTAAGTTTCTAATGGCTTGTTGGGGTGTGTGGAATAGCAGGAATGACAGTGTGTGGAAGGGTGTGGTTTTTGATATGAATGTGATGCTGCATAGGTCTATGGTGTTCCTGGATAGTTGGAGGAATGCGAATGAGGGAACACGAACGAATCAGGAGCAAATGGATCGTGCGACCTGGACAAAACCTGCGCAAGGGAGATTGAAGTTGAATACAGATGTGGCACTCAGGCAGGAAAGTAATGAAATGGGGGTAGGCTGGGTGTTGAGAGATGATAATGGAATTTTTCTAGCTGCTAAGAATGTGAGGTTGCCGGGGGTTTATATGGTTAAAGAGGCAGAGTCACTTAGCATACGAGAGGCTTTGAGTTGGTTAAAGGCTACTGGAATGGGAGATGTTGATGTGGAAACGGACTGTCAAACTGTTTTTAATGCTTTACGTTCGGAGCCTTTTAATTCTAGTTTCGGTTTTTTAATTGAGGACATTAAAGGTTTAGCTTCTGAGATTGTAGATGTAGATTTCTACTGTGTAAAGCGATCTGCGAATAGTGCCGCCCATATTGTTGCTAGGGAGGCCTTTTCTGTGTCAGGTTGCGGGGAATGGTTTGATTCCCCTCCATCTTTTCTTGTAGACTCTCTTATTCATGATTTAATGAGTTAGTTTTTCATCTTCAAAAAAAAAAAAAAAAACTATGAATAATAACTAACAAAATTATATATACTTAGAAATCAATAAAACAATTAAATTTTAAATTCTGTATGAGTAAACTTAAACTCTAATTAGACCATGTGGTTTAATGGTACCCATGTTGGACTTTCATTTGGAAGGTTGTGAGTTTGAGCCTCAATGGAGGTGTTATTGGCTCTTTGTGAATCCTTATATGATTCTCTTGATAGATTTTATTGAGCGGTTAGCATTATTAGGATTGTTTAAATTTTGTATTATTATTAGTATAGTGCATAAGTGTATGTATGTATTTATCTAAAAAAAGTGTATGTATGTATATTTTTAAAAATTATAAATATTCATGTTTTGTTAATTTATAATTTCATTTCTTTAAATTATATTTCATATTTTATTAATTATAATTTAATGAAATTGTCACAAATATTTTCACGGAAGAAATCTTATATTCATTATTAAAAAGGAGATATAATTTAAAAAGTAAATTATTAATTAGATTACCTAATATAATTGTTCTACTAATTGATTCTATGGTTGTATAATTCATATATTTGAAGACTTTTTAAAGCTAAATACCTATTAATTGCCTTAATAATAATTAAGATTATTTTTAGTCAATCAATATTCAATAGTACTAAAAGTATTACTTTGATTTTTTATAAATAAGATATAATATTATTAAACTGAAATCTATATCTATATCTATCTATATCTATATCTATATCTATATAAAAGTAAAATCCTCCTTCACAAATTTTCTCCCTAAAACTTAAGGGCATTTATGTAATATCTAAATTTAATTAATTATTAAATAATAATAATAATAATAATTAATTAATTCCTCCAATTAAGTTGTTACCAAAAGTATATCCTTTTTACCAATTCAGTCAAAATATTAGCCAATATATATATACTATCATCACTATCAATCTCTTTAGACTAATATCATCTTCTTCATTGCTTCCAAACTCTTTCAAGTCTCTTCCTTCTGTTGTTGGTGGTTGCTTCATGTAAGTCCATTCATCTTTTATAGCTTTCACCCATAAAATATTTTACTATGGGTATATTATATACCGACATTAAATTAATTTCTTTGGTAAAATTAGATCTTCAACTTCACAATGATATATTCTAAGAGTCTACATTAAAAATATAAGAAAAAATATATATGCTTATTAGATGTGTGAAAACACTAATATTCTGAGTTGATATAATGATTGCAGGTATTTGGAGTGGTGGTGAAGCAAAGAAGAAACAAATACTAGAGTTGTCTTGCCGTTTCGTTGTCTCATCAATCAAAGAATCTCAGACTTATCTCTTGCTTTCTTTTCGTATGAATTTTCTACATTTTTCTAATTATATTCCCCCATACTTCAATATGTTTTGCAGTTTATATCGTCCGGTATGAGCTTGAAGATACTTAAAGAGGCTCTACTTCAACAAGTAGCGTTATGGGTTTATGTGGTTCGCTGGGCAAAACAGCAATCAAACAAAAGCTAAATCGAATTGAGGGGTGAGGATGGTTTAGATGAAGGCATTTTCTCATCCTACTTTGCCTTTTTCTACAGAGATTGGGAATGTGATGCTGAGGAAAGAGAAAAAGGAAATGGAGATATTTTTTTTTAACAGAAGTTTCTGTGTTTTTCTTATACAAATTTATAATTGTATATTTATATTAATAAATAATTATTAAGACAAGTATAATTTATTTTATATTGTGGACACATTATTTTTAATAAATTTGATTTAATAATATTATATCTTAATTATAAAAATTCTACCTAATAATTTTAGTATTAAATGTCATACAATAATTATCATAAACAATGTTTAATAATTGACAAATTCCATTAGGCAATAAAGTTACTATTTGTAACAAAAAGATTTCTTGCGTATATAGCAATAAGATTTCCTCCGTAATTATTAACATAGTAATTTGTTCCATATATATTTTTGCTTTTTTCGGTACTAATTTTATTTGTGCCTTTTTACCATAAAATTCTACCTAATTTATTCCGTACTATGTTTGTGCCTTTTTACCATAAACAATGTTAATTCTATAGCAATAAGATTTCTTCCGTATATATTTGTGCCCTTTTCGGTGTAATTATTATGGTAATTTATATACATATATATTTTTATACTTAATATATAATATTATTGACACAAAATAAATTATACTTACCTTATTATATAGATTATTTTTTAATATAATTTCCTAATTTTTATTAAAGGTAATTATTCTCATATTTTTTCTTTCATTCTTTTGTGTAATTATTATGGTAAAGTATTTAAATATTGGAAGAGAACAAATGTTATAATTAATATAATTAATGACATTATAGTAATTGCCACAATATTTGTATATACAATGTATTATACAATCATATAAGGATATGCATCCGATTAGAGTTTATATTTATTCATACAAAATTTAGAATTTATATTTTTATTAATTTCTAAGTACGATTCTCTTAGTTATTATTATTATTCATATTTTTAGCATTATAATATATATGAAATACAATTTAGAATAAATCAACTTAATTATATGAATTTTTGTTATAAATTTATCTAAATATGTACATGATTACAGATTATATTAACTATACAAAATTTTAATTTTAATTTTGTATGTTATGAAAATAGATACTTGACTAAATATATAAAAGTCCAACTATATTATTATATTGTACATTTTAACATCTTTATATTTTTTTAATTTTAATTTTAAATTCATAATAACAAAAAAATTTCATGGGTAAAACACTATATTTTAAAAAATACAAATTGATAAATATCATAAATTAATTAAATAAAAAAATAAATAATTCAAATATGTGAACCAATAATTTCAAAATAAAATTAATATACAGTATAGTTACATATAAATATAGTATGATTACATTTACTTTATTTAGTTTTAATTCCCTTAATGATATGACTTTTCTTTATTAGTTTTGTATGGGAGACTAAGGGAGTGTTATTTTTAGATCATAGAGGAAGGGGGTAACCCAAAACAACGGTTTAAGCGGAAGCAAGGCGCCAAATGGGGATGCCATATTGGTCATCTTCTAATCTACTAATAAGGTCATCGGGCGGGGAGTCAAAGATTGACGTGCGATGCTGCCCATTCTGAAGCTTGGATAAACTGTCGGCCAAGTGGTTTTGATCTCTGGAGATGAGGGCCAGGTGCCAGGAACCCATGGATTCTAGCTCCTTTTTGCATGCGCGGAGGATGTTGTCTGTAATGGCGCTGACCTCGGAGTTGTAATTGACAGTTTCCACAATGCGTTTTGAGTCACTCTCAAAGCAGGTGTGTGAACTTCCAATGACTTTAGCGAGTTGGATACCCTTGAGTAAAGCCCAAGCTTCAGCCACCTCGGGTGAACATAAACCAATGGAGTGAGAAAAGCCCTTAATCCATTTGCCTTGAACATCTCTAGCTACTCCGCCACATGAGGCTTTAGACGAAGTAGTATCGCAACAGCCGTCCACGTTGATTTTGGTCCAGCCTGTTGGAGGTTTAGTCCAACGGAGGAGTTTCCATGAATGCGAGGCCGGGCTAGTGTGGATGCCCTTGTCTTTTCCGAAGGCTCTGCCAACTTCTGCAACTTGAGAATGTATAAGGAAATTCTTCTGTCTTAGGCTGATGGATGAATTGTTGAAAATTCTATCGTTCCTCTACAGACATAGATTCCAAGCCGTGGTGGCAAACAGGATACGGGAGATATGTAGTTGATTGCCAGGTAGTGTACCTCGAATGCCTGCATCAAACCATTCCTCAAAAGGCTTCGTTTGATCGTCATTTCGGTTAAGTAGGACAGAGCGCCATACCAGTCTGGCTTCAGGACAGAAACGAAGGATGTGCTCGGTTTTTTCCTCGTTATCCCCGCAGGCTGGGCAGACAGAACAGTTCGTGAAGCTACGCTTCTTCCTGTTGACGTTTGACATAATGCGATCGTGCCTGGCCAACCAGAGAAAGATGTGTATTTTGCTAGGAATCTTGAGTTTCCAGATGTTGCTCCATATTTGGGTGGAGGAGGGAGCGACATGGTCAGTGCATAGATCATAGGCTATTTTGGTTGAGAATTTGGAGGCGCTATCATCTCCCCAACCGATAGTATCACTCTCTAGATCGTCTTCACACAAAATGATAGCAGAAGGTCGCTTTATGATGCTAGATGGCAGAGTATTACCAATCTTATTCCAATCCCAACCAATGCCTGGTAGCCAATAGTCCGCAACAGGGGCGTAAAGATCCGGTAGTGGTAAGCGGGGAGGAGCAATGTCATATAGGGGCTGGTGGCCTAACCATGCATCCATCCAGAACTTGGTGTTCCTTCCGTTTCTGATTAAAATCTTAGTGCCTCTGATTATAGTTGGGATTGCCTTGATCATTCCCTTCCATACGTTTGACATGTTGGGCTTGGGGTTCCATAGTTTAGGATCAGAGGGGTGGATGTTGTATTTCGCCCTTAGGATATTGGCCCAAAGACTGTCTTCTCCTGTTAAGATCCTCCAGCCAAGTTTAGCGAGGTGAGCGGTATTTGTTTCCTTGAGTCTGCGAATTCCCAGGCCACCATGGTTTTTATTTTGCGTAACCAAGTCCCAGGACACAAGGTTGCATTTCCTAGCATTATCTGAGCCACCCTACAGGAAGGCTCTAAACAGCTTTTCCAGCTCATTGATCACCCCAAGTGGGAGAAGTGTGGATTGCATAGTGTACTGGGGAATAGCAGTTAAAGCTGATTGGATGAGGACTTTTCTGCCCGCGAGGGAGAGAGTTTTCATTTTCCAGCCAGCTAGTTTGCTCTTCACCTTACCTATGAGGTCACTGTAAGTTTCCTTGTTGAGACCACCGTGCCGAGATGGAACACCAAGGTATTTGCCCGAGTCAAGAGTAACCGGGATGTCTAGCAAATTTGAGATCTCATGCTGCAACGCCACTGGTGTATTCTTGGAGAAGTATAAAG